ATGAATAGAGTTTCTTATATTTTCCATCATTTTTCTTATATATCTTTTTGCAACTGCACATGCAATTTGCATTTATCGTCAGTAACAAGCATGGATAACAATTTTTGTTCAGTAATATGTTGCATGTTCTACGATGACATATCATACGTTTGTATATTATAGATTTTTTTAAATATTAATTTTATTTAATTAAAAAAGAAAGTTAAAACATTTGTACTATTTTTCGTTTCTATTTTGTCCATTTTTAACAAAAGAGAACTATTTAACATGATTAATTAATATACCAAATTTTTGTCAAAATATTGCTATATATATATATATATATATAAACTGGCAACATATGGAAGGAGAAATATATATATTAAAAATTCGCAACATATGGAAGAAAAAAAACAGTCATTTCAAAATTTCTTCAAAACTGCCAATTTACTGTTTATTTGTTAAAATTTAGGTTATGTAAATGTAACTTTTTTTTCTAAATTTCAGGCGTGGTGATGGTGGTCGATATTCGATGCGATTTTCTGCTATTAGCAATAAGAATCATCCAACTCCTGCGGCAATCAATCGAAGCGATAGACCGCCATTCCGTGTTGGAGGGAGTGGAAGAAATCAGGTAAAAATCGTTGACGCATTTTTTATTTCAAATTTTTAACTTTATTTTGTAACAGAATATTAGAATTGCGTTTGGTTTATTCTTACTGTTTCTCAAATATTGATATCATAGATCAGTTGTATTGTATTCTTGTCTTCCACTTTTCATTGTTATTAATTTGTTTCTTACAAAAATCTTTTGATATCGCCTAGCAGATCATAATAATCAGTGTATGAAATAGTACTTATTTTCAAAATCTCATCTGAAAAATCAAATCTTATGTTATTAAATTTATTTTGTAAACATATATGAAATACAGTTAAAGAAAATTCATTCGTCGAGGGAAATTAAAAGAGAAATCTCTCGACAAGTCGACAAATAATTGCATTGTTGTGAATTATCATATTTATAGTGCGTATCCAACATATTTGATTTATGACGTTGATGATGACTACTGTGAATATCCGTCTTAATTTGCCTTGAGATTTACATAACTCCTTACAAAATTATAGAAAATGGATTTCTTCAAGTTTCGAAAATATTTGAAGATTGTTGATTAAATTTTAAGGCAAGTGGAATAAAAGCACAGAAGGAAAGTGCTGAGATGACGGCTTGGCTAAGACGTAAAGATTATAATCCGATGAAGGCAGCAGCTGAGGCAAAGAAATTACAGCAACTGAAAACACGGTAAAATTTCAACTTCTTTCTTGTGATATTTCTTTTTCCATTTTAATTTAGAACTATTTTATTTCGAGGATTTTCAATTCAAAATTTTGTTCACTTCAAATCTTTAATTTAGAGAGGGAGAGAGAGAAACTACAGATGAGAAGTAGGAGGAAATTAAATAAAATATTCCATTATAAGAAATCTGCTAAAAAGAACTTTTCATGAATGATCAAAAAATATCGTAAACTTTTTACCTGATCTCGTAAAATTTCCAGTAATTTTCAAAATTTTTGTTTCTGCAAATGTTTAAAAATTTGGCTTATGTTGATCTTATGTTAGCTTACAAAACATCTCCCACGAATGTCAGAACTGTCAAAAGGAGTAAGCTTTTTTCAAAATTTTATTGTTATCATAGTTAAATTTTGTTTATCAGATGCATGTTTATCAGTGCTTTGCTGAATATCCATAAAGTGTTATCAATTCTTACTTGTAGTTGTGTTATAATTTAGTCTTTTTTTTTGGCTTATTTCATCCCTAACTTCTAATGTTCAAGTATTTCTCGAATTTTTTTTTTCCTTTTGTAGTCAGTATTAAATGGAAATTTGAAATTTTGTCTAAAAGACCTTTAGATAATTTAAAAGACATAGTTTTATTATTGTTAGGAGTGATGAATTCCGAACTGTCTTTGCAGTACTTAATTTTTTGCTGAAAATGAGAAACAAGGATATGGATACTAGATTATATGTCATTTGGAACTTTATTTGGAATGTCTTGTAATGTATCCTATTTTACAGTCTTAGTGTTTGCTATCGTTGTGACTTTTCTTGTTGTTTAGCGAGACATTTATTTTCTTTAATGAATAATTGAACAAACTGAATTTATATTTCAGAGCGGACAAATTTGCATCAAACCGTTCAATATCATTTCATCAAGGGACTCGACCTTTTACCAATGTGCCACCTGTAAGTTATTTTTGTTTTTATTCCTTATTTACTCATTGAGATTACTTGTCATTTCATGTTATATGAATTGTTGAATTCAGTTAGTTCAGTATAAAATCAGCCCTACTTCATGGTATAGTTTCTGTGATATAATGTTTAGTTAAGTTTAGTCTTAGTTAAGTTATAGACACTATTTATGTTCTCAACAGATTATCTATTTTGTTATTACTCTAACATATATATTCGTTTTCCACTTTTTTTTTTGTATACGCACTGAAATTGCTCCAGTTTTCATACTACTTAATTTTCTTATTAAAGTAATTAGATTTCTGAACATTTAAACTTCCAAAATAGATTGAGGTGCTCATTTCAAGCTTTAGCTTCCTTAAGATTAAAATCTTGATCTTTCAGATCATCCGGAACTCAAATAAAGCTCGTCACAACCGATCGCAAGATGACTTATCAGTCAATAATGCCTCTTGTGGACCGGAAACAATTCTTGTCAATTATTCAAAAGGTATTACGAGGGATTTGAATAAACTACGCTCTTCTGAAGTTACTCAGGATCAGGTTAATGCGTTATTCAGATTATTTTTCAAGAATTAAGTATTTTCAGAGCAATGTAGTATATACATTTCCTGTAATTTTTCGTAGTGAATTTTTTGAGATAGGAAAGGGAAATGGAGGAAATTTTTGATGTTAAGAATTTTTATAGAAGGCGAATTTTAGACTCGTATAGATGGTCTTGAAAGTGCCGTACAACAACTTACTATGAAATGTAATCGAAGCATTGAATTGATAAGGTAAGCAAATGATTTTTGTTTCATTTTTTTTTCCCTCAAATATTACTTGTTTCTTTCTTTTTTGATTATAAGGAATAAGGAATAGTTCTGCTATTTAGTAGCTTAGCAGTACAACAAACCGTTCATCTTAGATACATTAGGAGTAACTGAACAAGGCTTAATTTTTTCAAGATGAGATGATTATGAACAGTGAAAAGTTCAAAATAGTGGCTTTTCATCACTGTATAAGTCGCAATTTGTCCAGTAATGATTGAGTTAGTACTAAATTTCATGCTTCAGGAATTCTCATCAAGGACATTTGTCGGAATCAGTGGAGAATTTACTGGAAATGGCTATTAAGCCGGTGAAAGATTGTACGGGGACAGTAACTGATCAACTGGACCGGTTATCGGCAGCATTTGATGCGATACAGAAGTATTTGGAGGTTGGATATTTTGCTGAAATTTGAATGGATTTCTTGCTTGTTGTTGAAATTTATTCTGTTATTGCCAAAAAAGGTATTCGAAGATTAGAAAAAAAAAGGTATTCGAAGATTAAAAAAGGTATTCGAAGATTAGAGTTTCACTCATGTAAGATTCCGGTTGATGTCGCTTAGCTATTTTTCAGGTCTCATCAGCATCTTTGCCAGCATCACCATCTGGTTCCAGTCCTACAGCATCAGTCACAGCACTGTCGACCTCTCCAAGTCGACGACCGTGTAGTGCCTACCAAAGTAAGCTTGCAGCAGCCAAGCGCAATCCGTCAGAGAGTCAAAAAAATTTATGACCGTTCACAAGAATTATGTGCAATTGTGGTCATGATTATGTCATGCTTTTATAGCTTGTGATTAGTGGTTCTTTTTTTGAAACTTTCTCAGTTTTATCATTGACATGAATACGGAAAGGTTAGGAAGGTTAGTTTTACCAGTAAGTTTCATTTTAATAAGAATTTAAAGTTGTTAAAATCATATCTGTAACCGTGAAATATATTACAAGTAGAAAAGGGAAGAATAGAATATCAGGATTAGCTGTAAATTTTCGTATAACTTTTGAAGTTATTGGAAATATTTCCTTGGGAATTTATCGTCCACAATAATCTTAAGAACTTGTAATGAATACAAAGGATTTACTTGTGTCATTTTGCTAGAGTCCATTTATCCTATGTTGAATGCCAGTGTCGGCTATAAGTTTAAATTAGGAACTTTTGACTTTATCACGGCACAATTATAATCTAAATAAGTTAGACAGCTGGATTTTTCATTCGGTTTTCTGTATAAATTAGAAATTCGACTGCACTACGTCAGATGTTAGTTGATCTCCTGGCATCGTTAATTTCGATTTCTTGCCCGCATTCCCTTTTCCGAGAAAGAAATATAATTGTTTGTAAGTTAATATACTTTTCTCGGTCTCTCTATTTTCTTTGGACCGTTCAAAAGTTAGTTATTATTATGTAAGCTGCAGAACAAAGTTGAAAATTTACTTGTTTCTTCTGTGTTCGCCTATTTTGATGAATCTGTTTTCATTTTTGCTAACAAAAGTGTTTTATGTAGTAAAGGCTTTCCTCTTCCTCTCTGACTGTTTGCTCTAATTGTATAAATTGTTTTATGTTGCTAAAAAAAATTTTACACAAAAAGCTTACTACCTTTGTTCTTTTTTTTTTTTTTTTTTGAAAATGCGCTTGGATGAGCACCCAAATAATATCAGTTATCAATACAGATTGGTTATAAATAACTTCAACTAGAGGCGAGATTTTCTGCAGTTTCTAACAAAGAAACTAATATAAAAGATTCCTGAATTGTTTTATTTTAACATGTGAATATTTTTTGTAAAACAAGACAGGAATAAAGACATAATTTCGCATGAAAATATACAGCTATTCAATATAAACAGTATACAAATCTAGCTGAAACAGAATGAAAGGCTTACTCAAAAATTACTCATTCACTTCCTTTCAGATTATCTCTTTCCAACAAAACCAACCAAGTTCTTATTAACAAAAAATAAAAAAAGAAACAAAAATTTAACTCTTTAACATGGAACATAAATTATCTATTTTCCGACACAGTGACGATCCTACCAATCGGTCGTAATTCAGAACTAGAAATTCTCCCGGTTGTTCAGCAGATGCTGGTTTATTTGGTGAACATTTTCGGACACGAATTGTTGGCGGTTCATTCAGATGAAACTGCATAAAAATTGCACTGAAATGCTTAATTCTTGTATTTCAATTCGGATGATAAACATCCTTTTCTCAAATTTGAATACTAGATAAGTGCGTCAAACACCCTAATTCTCCACTCTGAAGTTATACCTTTTTTCCGAAAAGAAATAGTCAGACTTCAAAAATAGATTGTCGATTTTTTTTTTTGATCAGGAACGATTAGTGCTACATAATATCTAAAAAATTTAGATATCATGTGGTGCATGAATCATTTTATTTAAAATATTTTGTGGTATTCATCAAATTTTCCTTCTTCTATAATCACTGATCGCTGTATCCATTTAATTTACAAAATTAATACTTAAAAAAAGAAACAAAAGAGAAAATCATAATGATCAATGAGAAGAGCAAAATATAACCGAGTAGCACTCTGATTGCACATGTAAACAGTTGGACTTGGTTCTGCTCGATCATCTGTTGCATTAATATTTGCATGAAGTACTTGCCATTGCCATAGTTTACTAGCTATCATTGCTACCGTATTTAACATATAATTACAAATCTGAAAGTTATATATAATTTTTAGATATCATAAAGAAAAAAGGAAAAATTTTGCATAAATTAATGTGAAGAATAAGTTGTTCTTAATTTTTGCTTCATATATTCATCAAAAACATAATTTTATTACAGTTTTCTTTCTAGTATGAACAAATACGTGCTTGTTTTTTCCAGTCTGAAATAATATAATTTCAATGTAATGGAAGTTTCAAATTATATTTTCTTCAAGAAAAAATCAAGATCTAAGATTTACCAGCATGTCAATCGTATAAATGAGCATTTCGTCATCTCTTCTACATTCGATATTCTGACCTTCTTTTGTTGCAATATAAAAATTCTCCGCACCAATTCGTATATAAAATGTTGTTCTTAAAATAAAACTTATATAAAACAAATCTTAATCAGCAAATAATGTTTTTTTTTTTTAAAGAAGAAAGACAGAAACTTATTACATAGCTTGAATGACGCTTAAGATTTTACTAATTTGCTGAACTAAGTATTAAGTTTTCTAAGATATGTACTTTCCGGCATAATCATAATTCCTATTGGATGCTGTAACAATAATTGAAGACTGAACAGGTGTAGCACGAAGCCATTTCCACATAACCTGAAATAATTCTATCTAAAATTGTCTTCATTTTCAAGTCTTCAAAATGTATTCTCTTTTGTAACATAAATGCACCTGAGGATCTGTAACACGAAGCAAATATCGCTTTAATGAAGTTGTAACCCGATTTGTTAAAACGAAATGAGATGACAATAAAAGCAATCGTTCCAGCAAAGTGCGCTTTTGTCTTAAACGAGATCCAATCTGAAAATTGAAAAAAGTTATACATTTGTCAATATTAACTCTTGTTTTCTTAGCACAATGGTACATTTTTTACATGTAAAATATGATTATGCAAATCATATCAATTCATTAATTTTCTTTTTTTGAATTGATTGCATTAATTACTAAACTAATGTAACTAAACAAAATAAACAAAATAATTTTACAGAAAAATGAAAACTGCAACTCAACTGCTTATTTCTTTGCAGTTTGCGAACAATTGTTAATACTGACTATATGAAAGTATCACTTATTTTCTTAATTCAAGTTACCGAATACACACCAAAATATACCTCTTCATCAGTCATAGCATACGGTCCTCGTAAATCAAGCGTGTTCGGTAATGTCGATAATGGCATAGCTACAAATGTCTGATGACGTATGTTCCGTGCACATAGATCACTTAAAAATAACTGACGAAGGGCGCGGTTCAAATAATCGTCGCCTATGGATGGTAAAGGACCTAAAACTAATAAAAGTAATTTCTTTGAAATTCTCCTCAATATATCATTGCTCAATTTAGCAAACACAAACTAAAACTGAAGTCACTGCATATATCAAGACTTAAACTTGTACAGAATTATAGAATCGTGACTGTCCTTACCATCTTCAAATGGATGAAATGCCAACTCTACTCGCAACAAAATATTATCGAATAATGAAGCTATCAATACACCATCACGAATTACTGTTATATGATCTTGCAGAATAACAGCATCTTTACATAACTGAAATATGTAGGATTCTAAAGAATGGAGAAAAAATAGTCTGGAGTTTACTTATTCAACTTAAATTTATAATATCTGCTATCTGGAATTTAAAATATCTACTATCTGCATTAAAACTAGGATCAAATTATTATTATTCTAATGCCTTACATGTCTACATATTATACAGAATAGATAATAATAATTAAGAATCTATTCACATAAATTGCTAAAAAAAAATGCAAATCATTACTAAATTTCAAAGGAACCTGCTTAAATATATCTCGGCATAACAAGCTTTCTTGTGCCCATTGTAATGCCTTCGACCAATGTACTTTCATTGCCTGCTCTCTATCAACTTTCATATAATCTAAATCGTTTTCGGCAGTTGCAAACAAAGTTTTCGGATCATCATTATCTAAAATTATTGGTTAATTAAACGAAGACTTCCATGGACAAATGCATTTTTATGATTTATTTTTTAGAAGATGTTCTTTTCCTCATTTAGTTATTGACGACAGAAAAAAGGATTCTTCATACAACGTATAACATTAGGATTACTTAGATATTAAATATAGAACCTGTCAATGATAGTGGTATTAAAAATTTCATACTTCATTGATTGCATCTCGATCATAAACACTAAGGTATAAGGCAATATAGTTACTTACGAGGCAGTAATGACTACGAAGAATAAAAAAATTTCAAATGAAACTTTAAAAAGTAGCTCCCACAAAACTGCTATTATTGCGAAAAAAAAAATTAAAAAAAAAAGCTACAAACTAACCAATTTCAATAGAAACAGCAATAGTAGAGCGGCGAATCAGATCACATGGCACTTGAACTTGCAGACATGACTCCGATAGTGCTGACAGATTTCCACCATCACCACCAGATCCCGTACGTCGAGTGATATCAAATAATTCTTTTGGGTTGTATTTTGGCCCGACTACAAAAACGTTAGAAAAAGCGTGACAAGCTGGCTTAGATGATAGAAATATATTTGTAAAATGAACATAAAAATGATCATAAAATGTTAGCTCAAAGATAATATTTGTACAAGAAAATTTAGATGAGGCAACAATGACGAGAACCGCTCTTTTTGCAGGCAGAAATAAGTATATGGACATAATAAAAAATAAAAAATATCTAAAATAACTGATATCACTAACACATTTTATATCCAAGATCGCCATAAGTAACATTTCCTGTTTTCCTCACTCTCCATAATTCTCTCATTTTTTCGAGTTCACGAAAAAACATCGCTTTATCAGGATCAGTTTCAGTAAGAAGCTTTGAGCGGAATTTTTGAGCTTGTTCTAGAACGCCAATCGCTTCACCAAGAGCTTTACGCCTTGTAACCCATTGAAATTGTTTGGATTGCTGTATCATATCTTGCATATTATGCTGTGCTTCAAATGCATCCGCAACTGTTAGTGCTTCCATATATGGTGTTTTTAATACCGAAATCGTATCTACCAGAACATTTACTTGTTGCAGTGCTTCGCTATAAAATAAAAAAAAATAAAATGCACTAAAAGTCTGTAATAATTATTCGTGAAATGATGTAAAAAACCAATGAATAATGAACATAACCAAGCATATGCATTCCATCATATTTCACACAATATCTTTCTTACTTTAACAATAACCGTGAAGACTCGATTAGGTGATGGATCTACCAAGTGGTTTGACATAATATGAAGGATACTGTTGAGAAGAGAATTGTGAAATAAATGATAAAAACCAATAGTTAATTAAAATCTGCTGATTTTCGCACAAGTCATGAGTGTTTACATTTTTTGCTGATAATTACTTTGAATCGTTACTTACTGTAAGCGTTTTGCAACAATATGCCATGGTCCAGCTTCTGGGGTTTTACGATCTTCCATTCCAATTACCACTTCTTCGGGTTCCTTCTCTTCAACTTCTTCGCCATCATCACGTGGCAACGCATCTGGATTATCGTATGTAGCTTCTGCTCCGATCAATTTTCTCCAATCCACTTTACGAGCTAATTTTGCTACATGATCAGAATAATCCAGCGGTCTGAAAGCAGATATTTCAAATGCAAAATATATTAACTCGTATTTGAAAATTACTACCTCAAATTAATATTAGGTTGTGTTAATGACAGACTAAAGTCTAGAATTGAAGAATTGATGAGATTAAAGAAGTCAGAAATTTATTAAAAGTTTGATTTGCTTAATTTACATAGTTCCACTTCATCTTTTATCTCGTTAGCAACACCTACTCTATAGGAATATTTTAACCATTACTATGGATATTTGTGCAATGAAAATATGAACTTCCAAGAATCGTATTCCTTTATTGTAAAATAGCACCAAGCAATCTCAACCTGTATCACTCGTTATCAAATGCTAATCAACATCATTGAACGATCGGGACTTATCTAATGACAGTATCCGGAAGGTGCAACCCATTAAATTTTATCTATCGATAAAATAATTTAATTAATAAATTAGCATTTGGAATATCAAAGAAATTTCAGTTCCATCAAAATATAACGCAAGAGAATAAATACCGCATATATTTTTCAATTCCATCAAAACCGATTTCCTGAATCTCCCACTCGGAACCGGATTCTATGGCAATATTAACACCTGCTGGTTGCGCTGTCGATGATGTTGGTTGTCCAGTACCAAACATTTACAATATACTAAAATTCTGCAAATACAACTTATCAATTCTTTTTTTATTTTTGGATGCTTATATTGCTTATACCCTTATTACGTTCAATGATTCATGTGTTCAACAAAAGCTTACATAAATTACATTCACTTTATTTTTCTCGCTGATAACATATATCAATATGGTAGTGACTTATCATTACATGATACCATCATCATTTTGAGAAGTTAACCTAATTCATGCTTACTTCTTGGTTTACATTAAGAAATGTTAATAAACTGAAGATTTTATTGCAACATGTAAATTTTTTACTCTTAATATTTGAAGATGCAAAAAAAAAAAAAAAAAAAAAAATTTCCAGAAAATTATAACTTCAAATCGAAGATCACATTGAACTGTGAAAAACAAAAAAGAAAAAGAAATGTGAATCTAAAACGAATATGATACTACACATGAAAAACGTTATTCTTTTTGTAGTAATAAATAAAAGATTCAACTTATTGATTTTAACTTTTTTTTCGTTTTTTCTTCGAATAAAATAGTTTGAAAAAAAAAAATCATTTGGAAGGAAAAAAAATGTCTATGCATTTTACATCATAATTTCACTTTATATTATTAATATCTGAAAAAAAGAATGAATTTACATAAATGTACGTGAAAATGACGTCCGTCATTTGATATGCCTATGCTTACATATGTCATAGCTAAGTTAAACATTGGCAAATATGAACAATATGCATTAATGTAATGTTAAAATTTACAACACATATATATATACATATATATATATATATATAATTTACAATATAATATTAGAGTTATAATATTTTAATGTGAAATTGATTACTATCATTCTGTCAAAAAATTTCGAATAAAAAGAGAAAAAGAAAACTACCCGGAAATCTCTTAAGCATCTCAAAATTGCCCAAAAGCAAATCCATTCAAGTAAAGGTGGCCCAAAAGGTCAGCAAAGTAAATTCCTCGAACCAAAATCTCTCAAAATTTCCTCAAATAAAACCCTTTCAATTCTTCAAAGCAAACTTTTCGAGTCGATCTCTCAGCATTTTTTTCAAGGCAAAATCTCTTTCTTTGATTTTTAAAATTTTTCTCAAAGTAAACCCTCTTGAACCTTCCGAGAACTCTTCAATGTTGCATGCTACACTGCACTTCTTTCATTCTGCTTCTCCTACACTTCTATACTATTTCCTTCCCCTCTCTTATTACTAACATCAGTCACATATTGTCTTTTTGATTTTCATTTTTAAAATTCATTTCATACTACTTGTTATCAGAGGGAATATTCCCGAGTATTCCGAGAGTTCCCCGAAAATTGTTCAGTTCCATTTGTTATAATTCATTGGGGTATAAGAATGTAATGCAATGCATTCACATAATTCGAAGAAAATGTCTATAGCATCCCCCTCTCTCCCTCTCTTCGTCTCTCCCTCAAATATCCCATAACGTTCTTCACATTTTAATGCTTTTACATTACATCATTTGTTTTTTCTATATGAATATTGTTGTCATTTTCAACGCATGCATCTCTATAGTGCATTTGCGCATCATTCACTTGCACACTTGCATCATTCACTTGCACACGTGCATCATTCACTTGCACACTTGCATCATTCACTTGCACACTTGCATCATTCACTTGCACACTTGCATCATTCACTTGCACACTTGCATCATTCACTTGCACACTTGCATCATTCACTTGCACGTCCACTCATGCATTTGCGCACGTGCACCATTCACTTGCGCACGTGCATCATTTCGTTTGCTCGTTTTCATTTTGGTAACAAAGACAGTGAAGTAATGATGGTTGGTAGTGAGTGGTTGATAAGTGTAACATAGGCCATTTATTTATATTTTGATTGGTTTATTGCATTAAATATTTTTTAAATTTAATTAATTTTACTTTTTAACTATAAATGATCATTTAGCTATTTAATAATTTATTTAAAGTGTCAACTTAATTAACTTTCTATTAGGGCAAATATTTCTTGTTCTATTGAAATAAAAAGTGCTGTTTACGTATTTTAGAAAATGATAAATACATTTTATTTTACTTATATATATATTCATTAGAATCTATCTATTCAGCTAATGATCGCATCCGAAAATGATTCACTTTATCATATAGTAAGTAGCGTAAGTGTAGGAAATTCTCTTTCTGCAATTTCTTTATTATTTGAATGTTTTTCTTTACATCAGTTATATTACTAATATCAAGAAATAGTAAGATTTTTTAATTTTTTTTTTTTTTTAAAGAAGCAGTAGCAAAATTATAGAGAAATTATGTACTATAAATAATAATATGATTAATTTATACGCATATATATATATATATTTGTTTCTAACTCAATGCAATGATCCATATTTAATGCACGAATTTAAAAATGAGTTTAAAAAAAAAATTTGTAAGATGTAAATATTTGTAAAGTACTTGTGTTATAAAATGAGTTTTATTTGCACGTTAAGATCACATTTACATTTATCAATTATTGGTTCTTTTTTTCAGTTAGCATTATAAAGATCATCATTCATTGTTGCAACATCTAATATTTCGAAATGAGTGGTGGATTCGGACGGGGGTATATTTTTTTTTTCCTTTTTTTGATTTTGAATTTGGTTAAATTGTAAATCTGGTTAGTGAGATTTAAATTGATGATATTTTAATCTCTGAATATGATTTTTTTTTTTGTCAAGAAAGTAAAGCTCATCAATTTTTCTAACAGATCGCACTAAAATTTCAGGAAAATCGTCGATGATGATTCATATTTTCCAGAATCACATTTTGATTGGGTATCGTCTTAGTTTTGGTTCTCAAAAAATTTATTCGATGGACGGTGGTCACTGTAATCTTATAACATTTAAACATTTAGGGAGATACGCAGTATTCTGTCATTGTGCATATTGAAATAAACTAGTTTGCATATTTTCAATTCTTGCCATAATGGATACTTAATCGCGATTGGTTCTATAGTTGTATGACATGTAATGATACCTACTCTCTTTATAAGAAGCATTAAAAGAAATTTTAGACAAGATTTAAATTTAAACGATTTTTTAGTTTAAATGATTTTTGCGAATTTTTGAAGATTAATAATGGTACAAGAGGAAATCGTAATGAGAATGGTAGCATGCGTGGTTCTCATCGAAATAATTTTTCAAGTGAGTTCTATAGAGTATTTAGCTAGATTCAAGCAGGCAGATTATATGATTAGCTAGAAAGCTGCATAGTTACTAATTTTGATGCTAGAATTTTTGATTTAATTTGATAACTCTGTAATTTCATGGTTCTGGCGAACGATGTTAATTGAAACGGTAGAAAATTGTTTGTTGTTTATAATTATGATATAAATTTACATGTTTATATTTATTAAACTTTCAGTGTTGATTTTCTAAACACTCATTCCATTATTTTATTCTGACCAATTATATGAAACAAAATTTTTATTTACTAAAATTGTAACATGTATCTAATAATGATATTTCAGGCAGAAGTACTTTTGATGAATATAATCGTAATAATCGAGAAAATAGGATGGAGCACTTTACAGGTTACAATCAAAATATTAGTTGCATATTTATTGCTCTTGAGGCGTTATTTATTTTTTCTTTCCATCTTTTTCAATTATTTGGGTATGGCAGTAGTTTCCGAGACCTCAATGTTTTTGTTTGTTTAAAGGGTAAGTTTATCTTTTTTTCAGGTTCAGATTTTTCGAGTCCGTTCGATACTGGAGGTTGTGTTGGTAACAACCGCGGCACTCGCACTTTTATGAGAGGAGGTCGTGAAAGTACTTTTTCTAGTAATCGCAAGGACGGTGACCGATATTCATTCGATCGCGAAAACGATTTTTCTTCTGGATTCTCAGCTGAACGTCGTGGTGGATTCTCATCGGGATATGGTGGTAGGGGTAGTGGTTTCTTAGCCGAAAATAATATGAATAGAAGATCTTCAAACAGTGGCGGTCGTGGTGGTGGTTTTTATGCTGGTGGTAAATCGAACGGTAGTTCTAATTTCGGCTCCGATCATCACACTAGTGATTTTTCTGATGGTCATAATAGTAGCTTTGGTGGTTTCGATTATAATAATGATTCTGGAGATTTTGCAATTCACAAGCGTGGATCTAGAGGAGGCCACGCTTTTTCCAGTGATCGAGGTGGTGGTTTCCATCCTATCAGAAGTGATTTTGACAATGACAGAGATGAAAGCTTTGCTTTCGGTAACAACAAGTACAGCGGATTTTCAAGTGGACAGAAAGGCCGCGGTGGTCACAGCTTTAATAACAGCCGAAATAATGATAGTTTTGGAGATTTTGGTAGCAAAGCAAATAATGAAGAAACTTCTTCCGGTACTCGGAGTTTTAATAGTGGCTTCAATAGTGAAGGTGATGCTTGTTTTGAAGTTTCCAAGATAGAAATTAAATTTTTGTTTAGCCAGAATTATATGTTCTGACCTTACCACTCATATTGTAATTTTAAGTTAATTTTTATGTTTCTTGTTGACTAAGGATTTTTTAAATTTTAACAAAGCTTCACTCATTTAACGTCTTAAATTTTTTCATCCATCCATTCACAAATTGTTTCTTTATTCTAATATATCAACGTGCAAAATCTAGGTTGCCCAAAATAGCAAAATAACAAAAATAAAAAAAAAAAAAAAAATAAGACCTGAATAATCGGACTTTTCGATGTTTTAAACATACCTCAAAATGATTTTGATAGCTTATTTTTCAGAGTTTTAATATCATTTAACAAAGTTTCCTTCATTCTTTAGAACATTTTCAGGAAAAACAGGATTTGGTCGTCCTAACTTCAGCAATGATTGGGGTAATAGGCGAAGGAATGATCGAGGTGAGACTGTGTAATGTGAATCATCATCTTTTACCTTCTTGAATATTGAGTTCGAGAACATTTATGAAATCTACAAAAAGATCCATATAATTCTTCAATTGGAAGCCCATACTGTAATTTTAAGTTATCGTGGAATAATTTTTGTGATTTTCTTTTTGACTTGAGATTTTTCTAAATTTTAGCTAAAATCTTTAGTCGCTCAGTATTTTTCCCTGTTATTTTGACAATCTGTTCACAAATCATTTTTATATTATTTCTATATGAATTTGCATATATTCTCACATTTTATAGGAAACTGGCATTTATCGGACTTGAAAGTAAGTTATTTCGGATTTTATTTTGTGTTGATGTAATAATTTTAACATTAATATTTTTGTTGAAATAATTAACTAACTTGCGCAAATAGTTAGTATCTAACAGAAAGCTTGCAGTAGACAGTGTAAAAATATACTTCAAGAGAAGATGAAAGAAAAGGGAAATAGGAATGCGGGAGATCGTTTTTTTCTTTCCATGTTATTGATTAAAAAAAAAAAAAAGGGAAAAAAAAAGAAAAAGAGAAAGAAGTCTTTAGATTAACACTGCTTTTCAATCCTTATCTATGATTTATTCTTTTATTCCAACCAACAATTATTTTTAGAGAGATGTAGGAGCTGGCTGTGGTGATAGCTTATCCGAAAATGGAGGTACGTTATTGAATATAAAAAAATTTTTAATTAATCAAATAAAATTGGATACTTTGAAGTGTTTAGTACTCAGAAGTTCTTAATGCTCTACAAATTTTGTTTCAGTTAGAGCTTCTCGTTTTTCGTCTCATGTTCCAGAAGATCGATCTGTGGAAGAAATGTATAAAGAGGATGAAGCTAATGCGAAATATGAGGTTGTATTTTATCTTTTCAAATTGAGCACGATTTCACATTCCCGATTCTTGAGCAAGTGAAAGGGCGTATGTAGAAAAGGGAAGAATAGAAGGAATGCTTTGTGATGCTCTTAGATTTTAGATCTTCATTACAGATAAGTGATTTGGATCAAGAAGTCACGATAACAGGAATTCCACAGTTGCAGAAAATGCTGAGATTAGAGTGAGTTTCTACAGATTTCATCATAAGATTCATATATTTTAGAATATCTGTGAGGTACAAGAATTTAATCTGAAACATAAAATTCGTGGTTTAATGCTATGTTAAAGTTATGTTAAATGATTACTAGTAGTGCATTGGAGCGACTGTTGTTTTCTTTCAATTTTAGTGATTGGAAAAACGCAGGATTTGGAGATTTGTTATTACGTAATGTCGTCGAAAAATCATTCTACTCAGCCCCGCGACGTATACAGGCTGCTGTCATTCCACTTATACAAAATGGTGCATTAAATTTGAAATAAATACCTAACTTTTAATTAACTTGAATTAAATAGCCAAATCATTTCATTTATATATCTGTCCCAACTACCAGCAAATTTGATATTTCGATTATGCTTAGTATATTTTTTATTAAGGCTGGGATATAGTTGGACATGCCGAAACAGGTAGTGGCAAAACAGCCGCATTCATTTTACCAATTATCAATTACATCATGAATGATGGTGAAAAAAATGACTCGAGATGTGCACCAATTGCTTTAATACTAGCACCTACACGTGAATTAGTCGGACAGCTATACAATCAAGCTAGGAAATTCGCTAATGGTATAGTTCTTGACATAATTTATATTTTTGATTTATAGAGGATCAAATGTGACAAGTAGTTCTAGTACAGTTTTGATTTGAAGTAATTCTAAATTTCATATAAGTTATATTACTTCTATAGAGGTATCCTCAGAAGTTATCAAACAATTTCCGATTAAGCTAGAATGCATAACGGTATTTGTTTTCGGAATTGTTAAATCTTTTGTTTTGTCAAACTTCGTTTTAACATCATTTTTAATTGTAATGACATAGTTATTTTGACATTGACTGACTCAAATTAAACTGCTTTCATAATCTAGCCTTCGTTCACTTATATTTATAGTTTCATATGCTTATTATGATCAACTCTGTTTATGTAAATCAGAATATGAGAAAAATTCCCGTACTTCTCCAATGTAACTTTTAGGAACTGGTGTAACAGTGGCAAAAGCATATGGACAGTACAAATTATTTGAAAATATAATGGAGCTGGAAAGAGGTTGTAATATACTGTTTGCTACGATGGGAAGATTAAAAGATTTTGTGGTTAATAGGAAGGTACTGCTTTAAACTAAATGATATTTTTAGAATTAATATTAGAATTTGAAATTTTGCTTTCGATGCGTTAATATTTTTCCGTTAAAAAAAAATTTCAAAATTTTATTAAAGTGTAAAAAAATTAAGTTTTATATGTAATAAAAAAAAGCACATAGCATAACGATAGTAAACTGACAAGGTTTTGTGAGGTGATACTATTTCAACACGATTGAGTTTCCATAACAGTCAGTCATAATATTTCCATAACAGTTGGTCATAGTGCTCTTCTATTTCGATCATTTCAATTCAGATTCAAATTTCAAACATAATTTTGTTAATCGATATGAGAATAATTTATCAATTGTTTGAAAAGGATAGGTTTATTTGTGGAGAAGAGTTTCAATCCGTACTGATGCTATTACTTAAAGGAAATATTCGATAGTTATTTAGGTGAAGTTGCACAATATCAGTTTTTTTGTGCTGGATGAAGCCGATCGTATGCTTAGTCAAGATTCCTTTCAAACAGATATTATCAGTCTCGTTCACAGACCTGATTTTCCATCGGTAGAGCATTTATTTTTGTGAAGTTTTCCAAAATATTACGAAATATTGATAAAAAACGTAAGAATGATACTATAAATTCGTAAATATGCTATTTGGGAATAAATTGTTTGACTTATTCGAGTATATCTTCTCGCTCACTTAGTTTCCTGAACAGAGGAGGTATTAGGATAAATCTTATTCCTAATTTGAAGGAAAAAAAAAAATTATAGGTGAAGAATCGACAAACGTTGCTATTCAGCGCAACGATTACAAGCGAAGTAAAAGAGTTGGCAGCAAAAGTTTTGAAAGAAAATCATGCATTTGTATCAAACGGTAAAACTATTTCGGCTAATCCACTCGTTGAGCAGAATTTTATTGAGGTTAGTTAAGTGGTATTTATTTCAAATCTTCTGCATGGCCATTTAGTTGTTCATAATGGTAGCACTTAGATATGGTCAGTTTGATAAAAGTTAAAAATTTGAAAATGGAATTAGGATCATTTTGCTCTCTTTCTGAACTTCACCTTTTTGTCTGACAGAAAACATGAAGTTTTACTCTTACAGGTTACGTCTGAAAATAAGTTTGACAAATTGATACAATTATTAGAAGAGGATAGAGAGCATAACGGTGATGTAGCACGTACTCTGGTTTTTGTTCAGCGGAAACAGATGGCCGATGTCATAGCTTTAAATCTGATTCAAAAAAATATACAATCGAGCAGCATCAGCGGGTAACGTTCTAAATCAGTCATTAAAATTTATCTTTACATGGAAATTTAGATTTAGATCGTTCAAGGGAATATATCTGTAGTTCTGTTCATTAACTTGTTTTTATAAAATAATTCACTTGCAATAAATTTTTTGTACATTAAAAAAAGTTTTCTTTATCCTATCTGTAAGATGCGCAGTGATTAGCTGGTGTTTTTTTTTTTTTTTTTATGTTAAATATTTTATACAGATATACTAAGTGCTATGTGTAAGAAGAAAAGCCTGCATTACAGAGATCGTATGCAAAAACAACGAGAAGAAGCATTATCAGATTTTCGAAAAGGTAATATTAAAGTCCTGGTTGCTACTGATGTTTGCGCACGTGGTATTGACGTCAAAGATCTCCAACATGTCAGTTTATATATTTTGTTTAATATTACTTCTTTTGCTAACTATATATTTTGTTTAATATTACTTCTTTTGTTAACTATCTTCTGACTTTAATGCTATACGTTGTTTTAATTTGTTACATAGATTAATTCATTTTACTTTGATTTATATAAATATGTACTTGTGAAGGGATTAATTTTTTAAGGTAATTAATTATGACATGCCAAGTGATCGTGTGACTTATGTGCATCGTATTGGACGTACCGGTCGTCTTCATCGTGGTAAAGCGACATCATTTATTAATCTTGCTGATGATGATCCAGCTTTGATTGCTAGTATTGTTCAGGTATAATCATTTTTATGGCATAAATTTTAATTGAAGATTAGTATAATCTTCAAATTATATATAGACATACATATAATTCAACTATCTGTTTTTATACATTTGCTAATTGTAACAATGATATTTGATCATTGAAAGAAAAAGATTCTTATTAAAAATAGGAATATATGTTACTGTAGGTAGTTCAAGAAGTGCAGCAAATACCACCGGACTTTCTTCTTGATATCGCTAACAGTCGTTGCGAACGAACTGATGGTTACGTGAAGAGTCAGCGTATGCTTTGAAGTTTTTTTCCTTTTTTTCAACAAAAGATATCATTAAGGAAATTATGTTAATCAGAATATCGAAGGTTACTCGAATATTTTCAAGCGATTTTGAAATTATCTAATTTCATAATCATTTTATTTTGAAAAAGTTTTTTGATAAACATAAGGTTGAGATCTTCAGGAATAAATGGTGTTTCAGGATCAGATGGCAGTAATTTTGATCGCGAATTTAAAAAGGAATTTTAAAAAATTGAATGTATGGATTTTCATTTTTATTCTAATTAAATTTGTTCAAAATTCTGTATCTTTTTGCAGTTAAGTATCCTGCAATTTTCTATTTTATTTCCACTTATTTTTCAGTATAAATCATATTTGAATTTTTTTCGTTTCATAGTAAATATAATTAATTGTAGAAAATAAGCAACAAGTTGTGTTAACACAAATGAAGAACTGATGATTAAATGTTTGATAATTTTTTCATAATAGCATTTTTTGGTTGACAAATTTTTATTTCTGCCTTAATTTTTCACATTACAATATGAGTTTAATATATGCTTTTAATGTTTTTATTTTATAAATGATTACTAAATTGTTATTTCATCAATTGATTAAAATGTGTAAATTACTCCAAAAGATGAATGCATTTCCAAAACAGTTATGTCTCATTTAATTTCTTCTTCTGTTTTTTTGTTTTTTGTTTTTTAATCAAAATTTTAAACAGTTTTGTTGCATTTCCATATGTTATTCTCAATTAATTCATGTAATTAATTTATTTTAATTTCCATATGTTATTCTCAGTTAATTCATGTAATTAATTTACTTTAACTACCCAATATTTCAGCATATTAGGCAGGCTTTATTATCCTTAATATTCTACTGTATATGATTATTTGTTCTATGTTCAGAAATGTGGTGAAATATTTTATTGGCTATTATTTATGATTAATTAAGACCAAATTTAAATGATCTAACGAATAGTTTTCTACATTTTGATCATCTTCTTATTCACTATACAAATCCTTCATTTTTACTTTACAATTTAAGAATTTCTTTTTCTCTCAAAAAAGGTTCAAAAAAAAAAAAAATTTATGCGAATTTTGACATTTAATAAAAGATCATATTCTGAACATATTTTTCTTTTATTTCTTTTTATCATATATGAAAGAGGAAAAAAAAAAGATTTTTTTTCTTTTTTCACAATTTTGAATTATTCATTGTTCAGTTGATGTTCTTTTGAAATAAAACATTTTTCATGAAAATAAAATGCAGTAGTTTCAAATAGGTAATTGCCATGCTATAGAATAATAATATAACATTTATTTCTTGATCGATATGATATTGATAGTTGTATGATATAAGCTTAGTGCTTAAAGTTTATCACATCTATAAATAAGTCATTAAATGAGAAGTATCTGTTACAAGTAGAAAACTAATTTTGAATAAATAAAAAATCCTTACTATCATATGCTACAGAAGCTGGAAGGAATTTTTATTTCTGATAATAAGATTTGTAATTTTCACATATTTGCTTCATTTTTATTCTGAAAAAAAAAGTGTGCAAATGCAAATTTTATTTTATTAAAAGAGAGAGAGGAAGAAAAAAGCATCAAGTATCACAAAAAATTCAAATTACAATTTATAAGAGTGAGAATTTTTTATTGTCATAATGTTGTAAAATTCGCCAATATTTTTTTTTTTTTTTATTGAAAAACAGAAAAGAGAAAACTGAAATTTAAATTGAATTAATTGCCACGAACAAGTGCAATTAAACCATCTTTATATGCTCCTGAACAATCACCCTTAATGAATGATTCTAAACTTTTGTTATATTTTTGCTCAAATTCGTGTCGTATATCAGCTAAATCAATTTCGGAACGTGTAACAATAATACGGATTAAATCATTATCACGTGTACCAAATCCCTAAAAATTTCCATTATATTATGAAAAAAAATTTTTTTTTTTTTAAATAAAAATTTCGTTTTTTCTTTGTTATTTATAAGTTATCATTTGTATGTGATCAGGAAAGCAAATCAAATCAATCAGTCAATCAATCAAATTAATTTATGAATCAATCAATTGCTATAAAAAGTATATTTTAATATGATTAATTTATTCATTTCTATTATTAATTTCAACTTATTTTCTTCCAACAAATAATAATTTAGAAAAAAGAAAAAAAAGAATTTAATAAAATAATAATTAGCATACCACCATACTATTGTAGAGTAATGTAGCAAAATAAGCTGGTTTATTTTGCGCACATGCTACAACAGCTAATAAGCCATCCTTTACATCACCGCTAAATTCCGCTTCAATTGCTTTCTCAATTGTATGATTTGTTATCTCAAAAAAAAAAAAGAAAGTAGAAATTAAAAAATAAAAAAAAAAGATGCTCATAAAATGTGGAAATTTTGTGTAAATTTCGATTTTGAATTATTGTTAATTAAAATTTAACTGTAATTCTATCCATTACAAATTTATGCATATAATTTAACTTCTAATTAATCAAACTTTTTCAATAAATTGTAAAAATGAAAGAAAGTGAATAATTTCAAATTAAAAAAAAAAACTTTTTAAATCATATTTTTCCATTTAACTTTTAATTAATTAAACCTTTTGATATTCTAGAAAGATAAGTCTTAGTTGTGCGTAATTTTGTGAAGCTAAAATAGCATTAAAGCATGATTCATCGGTACCAAGGCGTTGTTCGCCAGCTTTGTATAATTTTTTAGCATCCTAAAAACGATAATATATCACTATTCCAATGATTTCTTTAATTTTAAAAATAATATAAGAAAGAATTGAATATTAAAGGAATTAGAACGAATACAATTAAGGAATCAGTGCAATTAAAAAAAAAATAAAGATTCAAATTAATTAAATCGTTTAAACAAAATAATAAAATTTATTGATGATATATCTATTTTATTCTTTCTTAATTACTCCAAAAAAAAAAAATCAAAATTAAAATATTTGTGAAATTTTTAAGAATTTGAAAAGTTTACAATTCAAAAAAAAAAAAGTGTGCACAACAGAATTAATGTACAAATAAAAATTAATTTATAATATTCATATAAGATATGCTTAATGAATACTTATGTAATATTTTTTTCTGTTTTTTAAATGAAATTAATTTGTTATGCAACAATTTACATATTTTCATTACTGTTTATTAATATATAATGATTTGAGTAAAAATTTTAAATGCCTAAATATTAAATAAAATAATATACTTACAAATTATTTTAATTTTAATTAAGTAATACTGAAGAATGTTTAACCTGATTAGCACGTAACGTATCAGTTTGCATACTTTCATCACGTCCGCCATTACATAATGATACGAGCAAACGTTTAAAATGTCCGCTTGTTTCACCAATTAAATCATTCTCTAACGTTGAATGATACATTTGCTGATAAATGTTACGTAATTCAATAATTTGTGCATTCGTCCGTGAACACATAATTTCAATTAGTACTGATTCTTTTGTACCCAAACCCTATAATTATTTGTTAAATTTTAATAGTAAAAAAAAATAGAAAGAATTACTAATATCATAAAATAATAAAGCTGTTTTTTAATAAGTAAATTAATAAATTTATAAATTCGTTATGTATTAAATGTATAATTTCAGCAAGTAATTAAGTATCAAAATACTTAAATACTAATTACTAGATATGTCTTTGATAATTAGTTCTCTCACAATTCCATGTATGTGAGGGAATCATGCATTTCAATTAGGCAATAAATCACATTTGGAAAATGTTTGCATAAATAATTTAATAGATGGGCTTCTCGTAATGCTTTTTTCGACTTTAAAATTGAATACTTAATTTCACAAAATGCTTATTTAAATTTTTTAATTAACATAAATTGCATAATTAAAATAATAATATGTAAGAAAAAAAAGTGAAAATGATATGGAATGATAAATTTGAGAAAAAAAAAATTAAAATTATCAAATCATTACTTGCATAGCTTTGTGAAGTTGTTGCGCATCATATCGTGCTGGTGGTTCCATTAGCGCCAATATTAAATCTTCAAAATCACCTGATAGCTCACTTTTCAAATCATTTATAAGATCTTTACCATACATTGTTTTATAAGCTGCCGCAATTTGTTGACGCTAAAAATTTTCGAAAGAGAGAAAAAAAAAGAAACATTCTGTTAAGAATTGCAAATTTGAAATGTTAAGAAAAGAAAAAAAATTAAAAATTGCATTTGATAATAATTTTTAAAAAATAAATTTCAAAATTTTATTTATTTATAAGCGAAACAATTTTAAAAATAAAACTAATTTTTGAACAAAAGAAAAAAAAAAGGAAACCTGAAAATTAACTCTGCCACAAAGTACAATAATAACTTTATTTTTGTCACAACCTAAACCTCTCATTGCTTTACGTAATGTTTCAGCATCAGCATTTGCATTAAATGCTTGATATGGATGTAACGATGCTCTTCCTTGCATATCTAAAAATTTTTTTTTTTAAAAAAAAAAAAATAATTTAAAGGTCAAAGGTTAAGATAATAACGCGAACATACTAATATTTATTTATTTATTTTTTCTTTTTTGTTTACAAATAATGTTTTAGAGATAACAATTATTAATGGAAAATAATTAATAATTTTAGCGCTGTTTATTTCCTTTTTTTTTTTTTTTAATTTTAAGCTTAAAAATTCGTAATTTTAATTGCTATCTCTTTTTTTTTTTTTTTTTTTTTAAAAAAAAAGAAAGTAGATAGAATGATAAAGAGGGAAGCAAAATTCAAATGCAAAAAGTTTGCAGAATCTTATAAATTAGTTTCAGTTATAAATTAAAAAAGTTTAATTCGATCTAAATAAAATAACTAAAAAAAATTTTTTTTAACATTAAGTTATTCAATTAATCATACATATATATATATATCAATTTTAACAACTAAATTTATTACCACCAATTTTTCACTACAACTTAAAGTTAAAAGTTATTATAGAATAAAAACAGAAACAACTTAAAATGAAAGAAGACTTCAAAATATTAAATAAATATGCGTATAATTTAATTATTAATGTTTTATTGATAGGTTGATAATATAATTTAATAATAACAGTAATTTTTCTTTTCTTTAATTTCAGTTATTAAATGTTGATAAAAAAGGAACGAGACAATTAAGATTAAAACAAACATATTAAATGTAGTAATTAAGTGCACAAAAAAATTAATTAATTATGTGAACAAATTTTTCATTGTTAATGAAAATAATTAAAAATTACATTGTGTATAGAAAAGGATGAATATTTTGAAAAGAGTAAACTATTTAATCAAAAAATTGAAAGGATAACAAAAAAAAAAAAAGTTGAAAAAAAATTAAGCTAAAAGTATTACAGAATGTAATTAAATTGTAATTTGATAAATTCACTTGTGACAATTTCTGACTAATGAAAAAATTTGAAAAGAATGGGACATGAAAAAAGCAAAAAAGAGGAGAGGACAAGGTGACAAACAAGTTTTATTGATGATGACTAAAGGCACTACTACTATTGCATTACAATACAATCGATTTTAAAATATGATTCATTTTGGATGATAAATATTGTTTATTAATGTATTGTAGTTGAATAATTATGTGGCGAAGCAAAAAAAAAATAATAAAAGTGGTTACAAAATAATAATAATAATAACAATAATACCAATAATAATAACAAATTAATTAATAGCAATAAATAATAATGACAAATAATAATAATAATAATAATAATAATAATAATAACAGTAATAATAATAATAATAATAATAATAATAATAATAATAATAATAATAATAATAATAATAATAATAATAATAATAATAATAATAATAATAATAATAATAATAATAATAATAATAATAATAATAATAATAATAATAATGATAATGATAAAACTTAAATAAATCAATCTAGATGTTTCGGTAAATGATATTATAAAATTATTATGGTAAACAAAAATTATGAAGAAAAATGTTTGTGCTAGTTAATCAGTCTTTGGTGTTACACATGTAAATATTTAAAAGGTCATTGGAGTTAATTGAAAGTTCAATTTTCCAAGGTCAATGACATAGAAGAGAATGTATGAGTGTTTTGTGATGAACATATATATATTTGATGCATTAACTATTATAATTAAATTATAATTAGTAAAAATGAAATAGGTTATTTATCAAAAATTTTGATAATTAAATTTTTGTATTTAATCAAATTAAAATTAATAGATAATCAAGAATATTTCTTTCATTTATAAGTATTCAAATTTTGCTTTCACTAATAAAATATTCTAATTTTATTATTGTTTACAACATTTTCCTTGTAAAATAAAGAAGAATGGGAAAAAGTAAAGTAAAATATGACAAACTGAGAAAGTACGAAAAGATGAAAATAATGCATAAAACTGAAAAATAAAAATCGAAAAATGAATGTTAGAAGAAACGAATTGATGAAATAGAAGGATGCGAGAGAATTTAATTAGGCCCTTAAAAATTGAAAAAAATTGAGTGTGAGGTGATGTATGATTAACAAGAATGTGAAGAAGAAAAGCAGAGAAAATGAATAGCAATATTTAATGATGTAAACAAAGCAAAAATGTAAAATTTGAATTAAAAATATTCAATAAAAATTTTTAATATAAAATTTCAAATAAGTAAATTCATTTTTTAAAAAAATAAGTCAAAAAAGTAGAATAATAAAAACAAAAAAGAGGAAAAAGGGAAGGAAAAAGAAAGAAAAAAATTGATCAAATAGTTATTTGCATTAAAATTAATTGAATAATAACAAAAATAATAAATTATAAATTAATAATCAGATTTACTAATTTATATTTTATTAATTACTATCAAAATTATTAGCATTTAATGTATTCTATCTAATGTAATCATTTTGTTATAACTAATTGCAAATATTTAAATGTCCTATTTTAAAGATAAGCGAATGAGATGACTAAATAGCTAAAGATGTAAACAAATGGCAAAAGACAATAAAAGCTAACATTTCTTATCATAGTTTTGTCTGAAATAATTCAGTTGAATTTGATAAATTTAAATAATATCCTAAATTTTATCGGCATTGAAATTTCATTTAGAAATTGCAAGTAGAAGCATTAAAATCAATTAAAAAATTTTAACTATAAATTTGCATATGAAATGAAAATCATTAAATAATAATAATTTTGCTTAATTTTTAGATAACAAAGAAGCAAAAAAAAAAAAAAATTCTCATGTCAGAAATTTTTAATTTTAATAATTCCTATTTTAAATATTGAAAAAATAAACAGATTAAAATAATATCCAAAAATTAAAGTTTTATTCATTCTGTTTTCTATGTGATAAGTGATAAATCATGAAATTAAATGTTAACTGTATGAAACTAAAGTAAATAAAAGTAGAAAGTGGTATATGTTTACTCAAAAAGGGTATGTTTACTGAAAAGTATACCATTGTATTGTACCTTTATTTCACCTCTATTGTATCTTATTTGGGAAACTATCATAAAACTATGCAAACATCGTTAAATAAAATCCTAAGGAAAGCTTACCTGCACCAATTATTGGTCCATAAGTATTGCTTATGTGACCTGGTCCAGAACCTTGATATGGATAGTCACTAGGTGCCAATGGGTAAGCAGGTTGTCCCGGGTAACCTTGTTGACCTGGATAACCTCCTTGCTGGCTGGGATAACCACTTTGTTGGCCGGGATAACCTCCATGCTGACCTGGATAACCTCCTTGTTGACCGGGATAACCTCCTTGTTGGCCGGGATAACCACTTTGTTGGCCGGGATATCCTCCTTGTTGGCCGGGATAACCTCCCTGCTGACCTGGATAAGCTCCTTGTTGGCCGGGATATCCTCCTTGTTGGCCGGGATAACCTCCCTGCTGACCTGGATAAGCTCCTTGTTGGCCGGGATATCCTCCTTGTTGGCCAGGATAACCTCCCTGCTGACCTGGATAACCTCGCTGTTGGCCGGGATAACCTCCTTGTTGGTCTGGATAACCTCCTTGCTGACCTGGATAGCTACCTGATTGGGCTGGATAATTATTTGGTTGACCAAAATGACCACTACCTGGAAATTCATTTGTACCTGCTAGTAATTATTATAAGCGATTACTTCATGAATCTCTCTGTATGGTACAAATCAAAGAATTATAAGGTTTTCTTAATCAACAAAAATTTTTAATTCGAATTTAGCATTAAATGAAATAAACAGTGTCATATGAAAAAAAAAAAATAAATAAATAAATGAAAGTAAATACGAAAGAAAGCTAATGGATGAGAAGACAAAAAAAGGTAAATATGACTTTTAGATAAGCTCGACATTAGCTATATTTCCAGAGAGAGAAAAAGACAAACAAACTATTTAAGTAACAAAAAAATTTAGCAACATATCAACTAACATAAATATTTATATATATATATTTAATTTAAAATATTATTGAATTATTAAAAGTCGGGGAAAAAAGCTCTATTTAAATTTAAATTTAATAAAGTTGAGAACAGTGTCCTAAAAATTAAATAAATAAATGCATAAAAAATAAACAAATAAATTATTTAATTAAATAAATAAATAAATTAATTAATTAAATATATATTAGTTGATATGTGGCAAAATTTAACTATACTAAATGCAATATTCCAAAATATACTTACATAATTAAATCATTTAAATGAAAACTTGGGAAAAAAAAGCATAACTTACTTCAGAAAATGTTTATTTAAACATTACTTTATTCAATTATTCATTACTTAATTCTTTAGTATTCATTTTGTAGTGGAATATTTGCAAAAATCTACGATTTACTACTTATAATTGATTCAAAACCTATCATTTTGTTACTAAGTCAAAATGATTGTTCAGAAAAAAAAAATACCTGGTTGTTGTTGTTTATTGCTGCTACTCCTACTATCATCTTGTTGCATATTTTGTAAACCCTGAATAATAAATAATAATTTTCAAAAAAAAAGAAAAAGAATCGGGTAGTTTTTTTTTTAATAGGATTTAAAGGACGAAATATTTAATATATTTGATTTTTCAAAATATCATATTTATAATTAAATTACTATTTTATTAAAAGCAGTAATGACGAATGAGATACATCGAATCGTAAATTCATAAACTTTTAACTGTTAATTACTCGAAAAAACGAACAGTTCATCAAAACATTAAAGCACAATATTGTATAATTTCTAGAAAGTTTTCTTTTTATATGAAATAACCCATAAATAAAGCTCTCTCAACATTTTTCTTTAATAAAGTAAATAAATTGTAGTTTTATTTTTGTTTATCTAAGAGGTTTAAATTAATATCAATTAATCACTGATAATTTTTCTATGAAATTAGCAATAAGTTATGATAAAGATATATGATTCGAATGTATTGATTAGTCAGTGAACAATAAATATTTTCTAATAAATTAGTCGGAATTATTTGCTTTTTCATTTTGGTAAATTATTTCATAAAA